CCAGAGAGCCAGCTGAGCGACCACCCCCCACCCGCCTGCAGCTGCTGCCGCCACCCTGAACCCAGGCTTCTCAATCTACCACTTTAATCAGGATGGCGTGCCGTACACCTTCGCCTCGCTGGGTCCCTCTCCAAGGAGAAATCTCCATTTTTGAACTTCTCTGTGATTTACTAAGGCTGAGTGAACAAGGGGATTACAGACCAGGAAGCAGTGTCCTCTTCTCAGGCATGTATTTGTCCAGTTACTGCAGTTTCCCTTGCTCCTGCATCAATATTCGAATGCTGACAGGTGGGACTCAGAACAGGCAGAGCGAGGAAATCTTGTGTCCTTCAGCAGGCCCGGGGAGCGCACGGCGTGGTCTTGGTGGTGGTGCCTGCCTTCACCAGGGGCTGGATGGAGGGGACCTTCAGCCTGGACCCGCCGTAATCCCAGGCCCTGAGACAGACAAACAGGTGATAATTACTGATAAAGCTCCTTGCTGGAGGTAGGGATGGGGTTGTATTGTTTCGACACGGCGGGTTTTTGCGTTCTGGTGACCTATGGGGTTTTGTGCTGCCTGAGGTTGGCAGGCAGACAAGCAGACAGGCTCGTGATTACCTGACCAGTGCTGTGCAACGCCGGGGGGGGGTCAAAGGGGAGAAAAGCAACTGCAGTCTGCAAGGTTGGTTTGCGCTGAAAGCACTGGTGGCTGCTGGTCCCCAGCATCCAGGCAGCAGCGCTGGCGTGGTGAAACCCCTCCTAGTTACCTGGTAGCAAACTTTTCCTGTCGTGTCCTTTTTCACTTTTGAAGGAATTGGGGAGCTGTGAAACTGCAGCTGAAGAAATGGTGTTTTCCTGGGTCTCTGTGGACCCTGGTTTTATAGCTTCGGGAGTGAAGAAGAGGAAAGCAACAAAGTTCTCTTTGGCAACGCAGAGATAACAAAGTAGATGTATCTTTCTGAGTATTCATCAAGAACTCTGCTACAGGGAGTAGAGAAAGCAGCATGGTGCTGTCTCTTGGAGTCACTCCTTGGGAGGAACAATTCCTCGCCCGATGGAGAGGAAGGGCAGAAACCCGTGGGAACCTGAGGAGATCAGGATTAGGAGTGATGGATTTGATCATTGATGTCTGGGTAGTCATACGAGTCCGACAGTGTCCGTCTGCAAAGGAATGTGCAGTGTGCCCAGGCGCTTCAGAGCGCTGAACTGACTCACCCCTCTCCTGACCCTTCTGCCACCCCCCAGACAGATCAGGCAGCTCCTCGCTGACTCCTGCGGCTGAGGTCAGCGCTGGACAGGGGTACAAGTTCCAAAGACACTTATAGCAGGTTTAGATCCTTTGGCTACAGGCTCCAAACAGGCAGGGGCGGGAACAGAAACTTTTTGTGTGGAAAGGACTTGGGAATCAAGAGTGGTCTTGAGGAGATGCACGTCTCAGGCATGCAGGCATGTGCTGTATGATGTAGCACTCTGACCATGCTGCTGGCTCTTAGAAGGACTGCAATCCATGCCCACCCCATCCTTGGGAAAAGCCAGGCTTAGGGTGTGTCCTGGTGGCACCTTTGGGCCGGTTTGTGCCAAATCTGTCCATAGTGTGAGTCTGACTGCTCGGACATACAGTAAAACACCAGGCGACCTCAGTTTCTTCCCCTTCCAGAAGGGCACGGAGCTTAGACTGAAGACAGCCTTATTCTGTGAGGGATGCAGTGGGATTACAGTCTGCAGCTGCCTGGGGAGGGGTGCTGTGCTCCTGAGGGGCTGTACAGCCATCCCATTGCTCCTCTGCCCCTGACGGGTGCTGCTCTGGGCAGTGGTACTGAGTGAAAGCAGGACAGAGCGGCCTTGGGTCAAACCAAGTCGATGAAAGGCAATGCTGGGATACACACATGTGCTCTTGGACCTCCCGTAGTCCATGCTGGCTGCAGCATGAGCTGTGCCCCTTGCCTTTGGCACAGTTTCTAGGCACAGGTTATGTGCCTGCATCTTGCTTTGTCAAGTGGCAGCTTGAAGACAAGTTGCTCATGTCTCTTTGACGATTGAGCACCCCTGACAACTCACCTAAACACCTCATGCACAGAGTCACAGCTTCATGAACACCCAATTTATGTTTTGCTTTCCAGGGACAATTTGAAGTTGATACTTCTTACTCATGTTTCATGAAAGATTTCAAAACCCAGCAACTCTTTCTGTGGACATCACAAGGAATTTACAGAGCAAGATAAACACCGAAACTCCACTTTTCCCCTTCATCACTCATCAATGTTCTCAGCGCTCTGGAATTTGCTGAGAATTTTACAGCATCCCTAAGAGCATCAAGTCTCCTCTTCTCAACTTCCTTCCTTTGAGACATGAAATATCATCTTCGTTTTCTTTAGATGATTTTCTGCACTGGTACAATGGGCAAAATAAATCCTCTGTTTACTCAATAATCACTGCCTTTCCTCCTCTGCATAAGATTTTTTTTTCCCTGGAAGTCCTAAAGAATTTTCACTCTGGTTTTGCCTGTTTTTTCTGCCTGACTTTTGGGGAAATACCATTCCTTCAGATCATTAGTCTCAGCTGAAAGACCCGGGTTTATCCAAGGTGTCGCAATATCCTCTGTACTCTCTAGAATAAAGGCACTCCAGTACTGACAGCCCTTAGTGAGTGGCCTGTTCTTAAGTAAACAAGTGAGTCTTCATTTTTTGCCCTTTACAAAAGCAGGATCACGTGAGAAGAGCCATATCTATAGACAGTTACTGAAATCAAACTGGGGGGTTTTAGTCTGCGGGTAGACAGATTCCTCTAACTGACCATAGAGGTTGTCCTCATGTGCAACAGTCCTTGCTGCACTGAGCAAATGCTTAATGCCTTGGTCACGTCGCTCCTCTGAGTGTTGTTATTCAGACAAGCAGAATCACTTCTGTACTCAGCAGAGATTTGTGCTCTGTGGGCAGCAGACGATACCTGTCTCCTTTTCTGGCAAAAACAAGCTTTAATGCTTGCCAGGACTTGCAGGTGAGCAGCCTGGCTTCCTCTTCTCTCAGACTTTTCTCAGGGCAGGTCTCACTGCGCCATGCCCTGTTATGGAGAGCACGGGACCGCGTGTGATCCTCTGTCCTGGTGTCTCCTAAAGCTGACCCCCAGGCTGCCCTGAAATCATCCTTGAGCTAAAACTGATGTATTAGGGGGAAACATCTCATTCTGATTATAAGTTATTATAATTACGGGCAGGTGCACAGGGCGGACACAGCTGCACGATCCTGGTTTCAGAGCAAAGACACAAGCTCCACATCTGGACACAAAAATGGGAATGGCCAGACAGCATCAGCCCAGCCTGCTCTTTCTGGTGGCAGCCGGTTGTAGAGCCAGGGTATAACACAAGCACATGGTGACACTACCCCAAAATGTGTTACAGCCCACCATGACCCATGTCTGAATATATCCTGAGCCAGTGCCAGTAGTTTTTACTTTAATTTTGCTCACTTGATTTTTCCTTTGTAAATTTGGCTGTTTGTTTTTTGAAACTTCTGGCACCTGCAGCGTCCTGCAGCAAGGAGTTTTGCAGGTTTACTCTGTGTTTCACAGGAAAGTACATGGTCTTGTTTCTTTTGAACCCTATGACTTGCTGTTTCATTTGATGTCCCCAAGGTTCTGGGGAAAAAGGGCAGACTGGTGGGACCACATGCATTTAGCTCTGGTTTACATTGTCTGGAAAAACCCTAAAATGACTTTGTTATCTGTAGGCTGCTTTTTCTTCTCTCTCTCCCACTTCCTCCCCCTTCCATCCAGGAGAAACACCCCTG